TTTCCCTCTCGTAGGATAAATACACATTGATGGCAACTCTGTTAATTGTTATCTTTTGTTCCACTTTAGCGTTTGTACTTGGATGAAAATACCAGGAGCGATAGGGGTCATTGCACCCTATACACCTCAACACAATGGTATAGCTGAACGAAAGAATCAAAGTATACTAAACATGACGAGGAGCATGTTGAAAGCTAATGATATGCCAAAGATTTTGGGGTGAAGCAACTTCGACAACAATATACATTCTACGAAGAACATGGTCGAGAAGACACCTTACAAGGTGTGGGCAAATGTGAAGCCGAATGTTAGTCATCTTAGAGTTTTTGGATCAATGTGTTTCTGGCATGTTCCTGAATAATTGAGAAATAAGCTAGATGATCGAAGTCAGACCATGGTGCTCATACATTATAATTTGACTGGTGCATACAAGTTGTATTCGCCAAATGATGATAAACTAGTGATTAATAGAGATGTTCTAGTGGACAAAAGCAAAAGGTGGAATTGGACTCAGGAATCAAGTCGACATATGAAAGAGACAGTCCCAATTTTGATTGAAGAAGAAGACTAACTAACTTAATTCATAATCAATCAAAATGAAGAACCACTTAATTAGAATGTTAAAAGATCTGTTAGAACGAGAACTAAGTCAATAAGGCTAGCTCGATATGAGAGATTTCCAGATCAAGCAGTCAGTGCAGATGATGACCTAATAGAAGAAGCTATGATGATGGTTGAAGCAAAACTAATCAATTTGGATAAAGCCATTAATGATACAAATTAGCGTGCAACCATGAAATAAAACCTTAGGGAAATCGATATGAACAAGACACATGAGCTTTTCGAAAGAGCTAGCAAGACACCAATTGATGTGAACTAGTTTACAAGTTAAAACGAAGGCCAAACGATGAAATTTCCAAGCATAAGGCAAGACTAATAGCAAGAGTTTTATTTTGCAAAAACCTGGTATTGGTTTCAATGAAGTCTATGCACCTGTTGCAAGGCTGAAGACAATTAGAATTATTGTGTCAACAACAACATATAGAGGTTGGAAGATACACCAATTGGATGTAAAATCAGCTTTTCTGAATGGACCTTTGGAAGAAGAAGTCTATGTCAGTCAACCACCAAGATTCGAAATCAAAGGACATGAGTCAAAGGTGTAAAAATTGAGGAAGGCTCTCTATGGCTTGAAGTAGGCCCTAATGATTTAGAAAAAGAGAATATATAGCTTCCTAATCGAAGTAGGTTTCACAAAGTCTGTCTCTTAACATGAAGCATATGTCAATGATGTTGATAGGTTCAGTCGAATCATTTTATTCCCGTATGTCGATGATTTTGTTGTTACAGGTTCAAATGAAACTGATATAAGAAAAGTCAAGTCAAAGCTAGTGCAAGAGTTTGAAATGGATGAACTAGGGAACTTGTCATATTTCTTAGGGATGGAGTTCAAAGACACAAGTGAAGAAGTGTTCTTGCACTAGAAGAAGTATACCCAAGATATCTTGAAGAGGTTCAAGATGAGCATCTGCAATGTAGCTTCCACACCATTAGAAACTAGAGCAAATTTGAGAAAGGAGACAAATGATGAGTTTGTAAGTGCGACAATGTACAAACAAATCATTGGATCCTTGAGGTACATTTACAATGCCAGGCCCTATATTTGTCAAAGTATTGGACTATTGAGCAAATTCATGGAGAAACCTCAAGAATGTCATCTCATTGCAGTAAAGAGAGTGCTGAGATACATTAGAGGTATAATTGATAATGGTGATGCCAAGACAAAAGAAGACCAACACAGATGCAGAGGTGTATGGCTACTCTAATGCAGGTTTTAGTAGAAATCAAGATGAGAATAAGAGTATTGCATGTTATATATTCATGATTGAAGGCACTCTAATCTCTTGGAGCTCAAGAAAGCAAAGCATTATGGCTTTATCATTATGTGAAACTGAGTATGTGGCTGCATCGTATGCAACATGTCAAGCAACTTGGATAAAGATGTTGCTCGAAGAGCCCGAGATAATGGAACTTAGGAAAATGAAGTTGTTTGTCGATAACAAGTCAACTATCGACCTGGAGAATCATCCAGTATGTCATGGTCGAAGTAAACACATAGAGAGGATGTATCATTTTATGAGGGGTCGAGTTAACAAAGAAAAACTTAAACTTAAGCATTGTAAGACATAATGCCAACTAGCCGACATACTCATCAAACCCCTAAAGAAAGTCAGGTTTAACGAGTTGAAGAGAAGCATCGAGATGAGAAGTATCAGGAACATGAATTAGGGGGTGTCTTGGAAGTTTTAATTTGATATTCTGTCAAAATATAGTATTCGATTGTGTCGGTGTATCCAATCTAAGTAGTAGGACTCAGTTGTATTCGATATAGTCAAATACAACATATAGTTTTTTATGTTGAAGTGTAACTTATAATTTTGTATTTTACACTTTGTATGTTTTTGGGCTTAGGTTGATTTGTAGAGTTTTGGGTCTGGGCTTTAGTTACTTATATAAAGGGAATAATATAATGTAAATAACAACTCACTCAATAAAGATTCTGTTTTCACAAAAATTCAATTTATAGTTTTCTCTCTTTTCTCTCTTGTTTTTCCTCTTCTTCTTCTCTCATCTTTCTTGAAAACCCTTTTATCCCAACAAGTATCATATTCTAGAAATTTTTTAAGTTTTTAGGATTGTGTATGGAATATTTAGAGTTCTATATACTAAGTGTAATGTGTTCTTTGAAGAATCAATCAATGAAATCAAATATTACCTTTTAGTTTTTTTTTTCATGTTAATAATAATTTAGGTTTAGCTCTCTATCAATTTAAGTATGGAATTGTGTTTTTTCATTTATTTATTAATCATTATATGTATGATTAACAAACGATATTCGTAGGAAAAACTAATTATATTAGTCAAAACATTGTGATTCTTAAAATCTATCTTTGACTTCACTTAATTAGACAATTCTTGTAGGTATTAGGTAATTTTCTCATTTTTGGGTGTATGTATTGCCATATGTTTAGTTTGTTTCTCTATCTCAGGATATCTTTGTTTTCTTCGTTCATGTGTGCATTACAACTCCAGATTACGCCTATGTGAAAAATAATTATTTCAATTAATGGAAAAACAAACATTGAACATAAGTTGTAATGTTGATTTGGTCCAGGCTAAACAATTATAGTATACCTTGATCATGTCCTTTGATGAAGTGTATAAAACACACATTCACTAATATGAATCTAAACTCCGTCTTAAATAATAGAACAATAGGGATTTCCATCAATCACAAAGAAAGTTTATCAAACCTTTTTCGGTCTAACAAATACACTAACTATTAAAATATAAAATATATTTGATACTTCAAATGTGAAATTCATGATATTCATGTTAATGGGAATTAAATCCTCAGTGTTTTCCCCAACTTCTTTAAAGTGAGATGTGGCATAAATTGAGTGCAACCCCTCCATTAAGAGATACTCAGCTAAATATCTTACCATTGATTAAAGGTTTGGTAAGCAAGAGTTTGAGATGTTTTACGATGTTTTGAGTGAGTTTTTCAAAACTAATTCCTTTAGTTTCCTTATCATCGACTAATGTTGTCAACCCAATATCTCTTACTAATACATATCCTTTAGTTGGAACTTGTTTCCCTATATTTTTAATAAGAATGCAACCAATAATGTCAAATTCTGGGAGACAATTCAAAGCTATCACATTCTCTAATTCAACTATTTCTCCAAGTGTTCAAAGTTATTGCATATTTTCTCTAAATATTTAAAGTTTTTGCATATTATGTTCAAATGATTAATGTCCTTACAAATTCCTATTAAGGACTTCAAGACCCTTTTCTAATGACAAATTATTAGTAGTTATCAATATTAACACATTTGCTTAGATTGAACCTTAAACCTCTAATTCCTTTAACTCTTAACTCAACTAATTTAAATTAATTTAGTTTGTGATTCCATGCGTTGTACATGTAATTGTGGCTCCAATAATGACAAAGAGAATGAAAATTTTTTATCATTAAAATAAATAAAATATAATAAGTTTTTAATGTTTGGCTGAAGAGAATCAAATGTTAAGAGCAACGTCAAAGAAACCATTTTTTTTTTAAATTTCGCTAGTAAACGTGTGATTTAGTTGCTTTTATATGTTCAGGATCATTAATTTATAATATTAATTACAAATAATTCTCAAAATACTAAAATAATGTATCTATACAATTAAATATTTTTCTAAAATTTTATTTCATATATCTATTTTAAAAACATTATAAAAAATTCATCACCAAAATCTTAATTGTTTTTAGACCTGGAATGAATTAAATATAAACCAATTTTAACAGCAAAGATTCTAGATGAAAGTAGCAAATATTTGATTTCAAAGATAAAATTTTCCCTAAAAAATGGATAAAGTTTTGAAATTACTTTTTATGATGAGATTTTTTATAGAAGAAAAATTATAAAAAATTATAATTTCAAAACTTAGTCTAAAAAACAATCTTTGGAAAATCATAATAGTCTAAAAAGCAACAATTAAAAGTTTGATATTGTTAATAAACCACATTCAATTAAACATGACAATGTAAACCATAGTACATGTACCAGGTCTAAATTAAGACTAAATAAATACTGCATTTTAGTGTATATTATAGTTGAATGAAGGCAATGCATTAAATCCTAAAATTAATGTACAGAATTAATTTTACCTTAATTTTATGACAAAAATAAAAATTTAAACTATTTGAGTCATCATGTAATTTAACCAATTTTTAACATTTCTAGAAGTCTATAATTTTGATTTGAATGGAAATACGGTATAAACAAACACATCATCCTGGGTGGTTACTGAGTCGACACGCGCTTCACCCTTTGACTGGTGAAATGTTGAAACCCTTTATCTCTCTCTTTTCATTTCATGCTATTCTCACATTTTGCAATATCGTTAAATTTAATCTTATTTCTCTGTTATTATTTTTCTTCAATTTTATGGGCCAGTCGCCGTCAACCCCCGCTCCCTCGCCGGAGATAAACCGCCGTCGCGATGTTTCCAACATAAACCGATTCGGTTACGGTTGCGGTGATTCCTCCGATGAGTTCGATGGAGGTTCACGCCGTGACTATACGGATGAGATTCCTGATGAGTGTTTGGCTGGGATTTTCCAGTTTTTGGATGCCGGAGATCGGAAAAGCTGCTCCGTTGTTTCACGTCGGTGGTTACGCGTGGAAGGTGAGAGTCGGCAGCGGCTTTCCCTAAACGCGGAGGCGAAACTGTTGGATTTCGTTCTTTCGCTGTTCGCTCGTTTTGATTCGGTGTCGAAGCTAGCTTTACGATGCAACCGGAAATCGATAAGCGTGAATGATGATGCAATGATTCTGATCTCGCTTCGTTGTAAGAATCTCACGCGCTTGAAGTTGCGCGGGTGTAAGGAGATTACCGAGATCGGGATGTTGGGGCTTGCGAGAAATTGTAAGAATTTGAAGAAGCTTTCGATTGTTTCGTGTTTGTTTGGTGTTAAGGGTGTTCATGCTGTTGTGTATAATAGTGATGTTATTGAGGAGCTTTCTGTTAAGAGGCTCCGAGGCGATAACGATAACGTTAACGTTAACGATGCTGAATCTGAATCGGTTTATGGGAATGGTAATGGTGGTTCTTCGTTGAAATCGATTTGTTTGAAGGAGCTTGGTAGTGGGCAGAGTTTTATGCCGTTGATTGTTGGCTCGAAGAAGCTTCAAACTCTGAAGCTGATTGGGTGTGTGGGGAATTGGGATTCCACACTTGTAACGGTGGGGAAATTGAATACTTTGGTTGAGATTCATCTTGAGAAGGTTCAGGTAAGTGATGTGGGTCTTGTTGGGGTTTCCAAGTGTTTGAAGTTGGAGACTTTGCATCTTGTAAAAACGCCCGAGTGTTCAGATGCTGGGCTTGTTGCTGTGGCTGAGCGTTGCAAGATGTTGAAAAAGCTTCATATTGATGGGTGGAGGACGAACAGAATTGGGGATGATGGTTTGATTTCAGTTGCGAAAAACTGTCCTAATTTGCAAGAGCTTGTGTTGATTGCTATGTATCCTACGTCGTTGAGTTTGGCTGAGATTGCTTCGAGTTGTCAGGGTTTGGAAAGGTTTGCTCTTTGTGGAATTGGTACCGTTACTGATGCGGATATCAAGTGTGTTGCTGCAAAGTGTGCGGCACTTAAGAAATTGTGCATTAAGGGTTGTCCTGTGTCGAATGTTGGCATTGCAGCATTTGCTTCTGGATGTCCTAATTTGGTTAAACTCAAGGTGAGAAAGTGTGTGAAAGTTACAGGTGAAGTTGCGGGGTGGCTGCGTGTAAGGAGGAGTTCGTTGGCGTTTAATTTTGATCACAATCAAGTTGAAGGATTGGATGGAAGTGGTAGTGATGTCGGCGTTCAAGAAACTACACTGGCTTTTCCACCAATTGACAATGAAGTAAACGTTATTGATGATTCTCCTTCAACCAGCCATAACAACGACAACCGATGGTCGATTTTCAGGTCCAAGTTTAATTTTGTGCCCTGTGCTTTCAGAAGGTGGACAAACATTGATACTATCTCTAGTAACAGCTTTTCTTAATCATTTGTAAGAATGGCTATATACATTTTACCACATTATGTTTGATGAGCTCTTCTTGCTTGTTCAAGGTCACGGTCGTCCTTGAATTATTTATTGTTCATTGAATTTTGCTTATATCATATGATAATTTCATGTATCCAATCAATCACCTTGATTGACTATTCTTAATCATTTGTTAGAATCACTATGCATTTTGCCACATTATGTTTGATAAACCCTTCTTTTGCTTATTGCTCCTTAAATTTTGTTGTTTTGATGGTTGATGCCACATATATATTTCATGCTTTGATGATTGATTTTTCCATTTTCATTGTCACTAACATGTTTTACCGTAATTTATACCAAATGAGAAATTCTAATGCCTACCCTTGTCACTCTACACCTTGATGAATTTGTTATTGATCAGAACCAAAACAAAAGAACAATATGGAATCTGAATTTCTTTTGTAGTGCTTCACTAGTTGTTGTACAAACATAAAGTCATAAACATGAAGATGCAAAGAACATTGGTGTTTTTTCTTTATCATCGTCATATTTACTTTACAGTTATAATTTGTTTCTGAGTTGGCATCTAGTAACATCTTTTTGTAATAACATTGATGGTTCTCGTGTATCACACCCACCACTCATCATGTAGCACATGAATTCTGACTAATAAAGTAGCATGATTTCTATCTCAGACGACGACGGAAGTTAGAAGTTTCTTATTCTTTATAAAATACTCTCCTCTTACTATGAATGATCTATTTATAAATTAAATGTATTTAGAAATAAATATCACTTTTAACTTTAAATATAATATTAGTTGTTTTTTTCTAATTATATCTCTATTTAATATTATTTGCATTGCTGTCAAGTTAATATTTTTTACTATATTTATATAGTAGTGAATACTCCCTCTTAATATTAATATAAGCAATTTTAGTCACTTCCATAAACAAAATTATACAATTTTAAACTATTTAATGCTAGTATTCTTAATATATATCTTATTTAATTCAAAAATATTTAATATGAATATTTGATCTATTAAATATTAACCAAAATGTTTTGATAAATTTAATATTTGTTTTGTATGAAAATTTTAAAATTAAATAATACTTTTCCAAAGGAACCTTGTTTTGTAATAATAGTTTTCCTTTAGCATCTCAAAAATCGATCTTCCTAAAGGAACCTTGTTTCTGATTCTTCTTGAGTGTTTTGGTTTTATCCCTCATATGTTTGAAAACAGTTACCATGTAGTTCTTGGAGTTATACATCTCAGAAGGACCTTGAACTAAACCTTGAACTTATTCTCAAATTAGTAGTTTCGTTGATGTTTTTCGGTTCTTCAAAAAGTAAATCTACTACTTAATAAATGATCTTTGCTCATTTTTCCCCTTCTAGATAGGTGTACTTGTTTGCACAAGCAATGTGCTTCTACTTAATCGAGATTATAATTCTCAATATAGAGCTATCACATGATCCTCCACTATCTTGAAGTAGGGTTTCCATTTTTGAGTTATCACATGATCCTTAAGATTAAACTTATTTTTAGTCACATTTTTAAAAGTTTTTTCACAAATAAGATAATGATTAAAATGATTTTGAGCCACAAAATGAGTAAATGATAATAAATTACAAAAATGGATCATCTTTGCAAGAGATAGATAATCTAACACTTGGCATTAAATAAAAAATAAAAAACACTTATTAGAGTCAAATCCCTGCCATACTCCATTTTTTCAACTTTCAGTGTTTTGGTTTTGAACATTTTTTCAACTTTTTGGTTCAAAGTCAAATCCTTCCTCTTGTTTGGAGTAGTTAAGCTCCATCTAAGATCTTGCTCTCATCTTAATAATTATTGCAAGATAAATTCTCTTCCGGACATCCTGGTAGGCTTTCATCTCCATGTTATCGGTATTTAATTGAGACTACTTTTCACCTTTTTGTTACTTGTTAGAAACTTCGTCGGCGTGGTATAGATTTGTTAGGTGGTTGGGTTGACAAATAGTTATACATCATGATCTTATGATTTTTTTTGATTATTTCCTTTCTTTATGAGGTAGGTTAAGTTTAAGGGTGGCTACCTTATAGTTTTCCATATTGTGATCTAATCTATTTGAAAAGTCTGAAATGATGTTGTGAAACCATGTTTTGTAGGCTAAGTAATCAAGGATTCTCTTAATAACATGTTCTTAATGATGAATATGCTTTTGACGATGACAACTAAATGTAAGTATAACAAGTGATCAAAGATGAAAGCATACGAAAATGTAGTTTTAATGATCATTGCAAACATCCTCTGATGATGACACTCAACTGGAACAAATATCAAGCCTCATTTTCAAGAAGAATTAAAACAAGTGTCTATATGATTGGATTACCTGACAAGTCTTGAATCTTCAAAGTGAGAAAGAGAGAGTGTGAAAGCTCGTTCTATCACGCCTGAGTGAAAAATATGTTGTAAAAGCCCCAATCTTCAAATTTTTTTTCAAGAAAGTGTCTATATGATTGGATTATCTGACAATTCTTGAATATTCAAAGTATGAAAGAGAGGAAATGTGAAAGCTCACCCTATCGCCTCTTAGTGAACAATATGTTATAAAAGCATAAAGGATTTTTTGTAAAGTTATACAACCAAAGTTATACAACCCCTTATCCAGACTTTTAACGTTCAAACTTCAAAGTTTCAAGCACACCCATTTTTTGTTGTCTTTTTCTTCACAAATTGTTCATAGGATTTTTTGAGTTTTCATCCCTTAAGTGAACTTGAACTTGAACTTTTGCAGAAAAGTGTTGTTTCTTTTATTTGCTTATTTTTTTCTTCGTGCATGAAATATTTTCAAGTGTCGAGTGTTTATGCATTTGAGGAGTGGTAAAACTCTTGCTAAGATGACTCGTCCAACATTAAAAAACCCTCCCATCTGTTGACATGATATTTTCGACAAAGGAAACAAGCCTTTGGGCTATAAAGCATCCCCAGGAAAAAGGGGCATAAATGGTAATTTATGGTGAACATTACAAGAGTTAAGCGAAGTGTTTCGACAAAGGGACAACAGACGACGAGAATGTTGGCATCGGCTTGACAGCAGCTTAGGTCAGTAGCAAAGAGAGTTGGTCGACAGGCAGGTCAAATGGCGCCAAAAGGATATTTTGAATTTGTACGCTGGCGTGAACGTGGGAGAAGTTGTGAAGCCATTCCACGAAAAATCCCAACATGAGATACTGTAAACGTCGATAGTTACATCCTTAGGATTTCTATTTAAGCAAATTTATGCATTTGTGTAAAGGGTTGCATTTCTTCATATTAAAAGCGTTACATTTAAAGTATCCACAACTAAGAGAGAAATGAGTTCTAAGCTTGACAATGTATGAATGCTTCCACAATTTAATTCAAAGCAATTTTCAGTTTTCATTTTAACTTATTGCCTTTGTTTTACTTCCTTTATTTTTCTACTTTTCACTTTTCTTACAATTGTACTGCTACTTTTGCCCTTTTTAACCAAAACCATACAAATACTCAAAAACAACACATAAGTCTGGGATTATTGTAGCCGATCCTGCAAGTAACCTTTAATAAGAGGCTAGAGATTGTTTCGTGGAGAAACAAATTGGCACACTCGGTGGGACACATCTTATGTTAGTTTCTTGAGTCAGTTTCAGTGTATGAAATTGAGGAATGGGAGAAAAATGGTTGAACCACGAAATCCTAATCCAAATGGGGATCAACCCCAAGAGGAAATGTTGGCGCCTCTCAGGCGTTTGACGTTGTTGTAATAATTTCGGTGGCGACTCATTCGTCAGCACAAAGTGCACCGATAGTAACGAGTCAATCGGTGACTCCAAGGCCAAATGTGGCTAATACTTCTGGGCAGTACATGCCTAATTTAACGACACCTATGTTTGGAATGCAGACTGTGATGATAGCGGGATTGCGTAGAAGTTATTCGATGTTTGGTAATAATTTAGCATCAACATTATCACCCTACCATGCTACAACCTCGTTTAAGAAACAATTTGGTCGTTCGACTGGATTGGGATTGTCGTCTAAAGCATTACCAACTTTCACCACAAGTTCTATTGCAATTATGAGGCAACAGATAGATGAAAGTAATCATGAAATGATCTATTTGCTCACAAAGTAAATGGGAACCATATTACGTCCCTTAATACAGAGCTCGACACAGAGTTACCAAATGTTGGCAACTCAAATGGCTCGTATTGGAGATTTCCTTGGTGCTCCCAGAGTGCCAGTTCGACAGGCTTCCCCACCACCTCCCCCAGAGGTGCAAGTGAGGTATGAAGAAGTATTCAACGAGACCATGGGCCCCAAATAGAAAATCCTCCAAGGCATCGAATAAATACTAAGGTTTGTTCAACCACCCCCTATGGTGGTAGTTGATCGAAAACAAGATGCTGACCGAGTAGTTAGGTGAGTTCGACAAGAGGCAACAACTGGAGAGCAGCACCTAGAAGCTATGATCGAATGAGCCATGATTAGGAATGGCATGAACACTGGCTGTCAGAGGAATACTTATGCCTCGCCATTTCCAGATTTTATCTTACAAACGGAGTTACCTAGAGGGTGGAAACTCCCAAAATTTACTAAGTTTTCTGGTGACGTCGAAGAGTCCATCGTCGAACACATCGCCAAGTGTCAAACTGAACTTGGTGATTTAGTGAATAATGAAGATTTTATGTTAAAATACTTCCTTAATTCCCTTACAAAGAATGTGTTTACCTGGTTTAAAATGCTCCCCCCACAATCACTTCACACATGGATCTAGTTGGAGGAATTATTCCATGAATAATTTCATATGGAGAAATCTAAAATAAGCCTGACAAAACTGTATGATGTCAAATGAAAGAGCACTGAGTCAGTCGACCAGTATCTCAACAGGTTTAGACTTTTGAAAACCATGATTTAGTCGAAATAGATGCTAAGGGTTTGGACTACTCAGTCCGAAAGAGGTTAGAAGATATTCCACCAGTGAAGGATATGGATCAGTTAGCCATCA